GCCCTTATTTTGGTTTTGGTCCCTCAAATTTCAAGCCATAGGTTTTGGTCCCTATAGGGGTAAAATTATCCTAGTTTTTATTGGGTTATACGGACCAATATTTTAAATAAAAATAAACTTGGGGGACCAAAACTTATAGTTTGAAATTTGAGGGACCAAAACCAAAATGAGGGTAAACTTGAGGGACCAAAGATTATATTAACCCTTTAATTAAATTATATTCCATAAGAGCACACATACGCTGAGAGTGGTGGTGATTTTCCTGGGGCATTGAACTCCTTTTGTAGCTTGAATATAGGCCAAGGGTCATCTCTAGTACTGAAGTCTTGAGTACTGAAGTCAACAGCTCCAAAAAGAGCATATATATTAGGTTGTTTGCAATCTATCCAATGCAAATCCTGTGATTATCAATGATACGCTTGATAATAGCTAAACAATGGAACAGTGGATAGAGCATGACAGGGCCGTGAAATGAATATATAAGAGGAGGGAGGTGGAAGAAAGATGAATGAAAAGATGTCTATAAAATCTCGCAACTAACAGCTTTTATGATATATGAACTTTTACCTGAAAAGACAGCATCCCCACGGATAGTTCTTTTCTCAAGATGTTCCCTAGATCCTCCATCTGTAGTGTATTTGAAAACAGTGAACATACAGTTTTATAGAGAAGGAGAAAAAGAAATATCCAGAAGAAATATGTTTTGATCCTGAGTGCCGCCATTGAATACTTGGAGATAAGCTTCAGAGAAACAAGCTTTTATATAATTTTTAAAGTTGCAACCTGGTGCAAGATTGCTAATGATGTCTTATTCTGAACACCATGTTACCATTAAATAATGAACACTATCTCAAAAGTCAAAACCTTCCAATGGCCCCTTTTGAAGTCTGCTTAGAGTTGCAAGCCATAGACAGCCATGCATGAACCATTATGCCAATGTCAATAGAGACAAGATATGACTCTTATTATCACCTAACAAATATGTCTTGAAATGTATTTCTATAACACACGCTAAAAATGAAGATGCCAAAAGAAAAACTATTGGGAAATTAGAACTGAAGACTCTAACAAAAGGAAGCAGCAATTAATGTCTGAAGGGTATAATTGTGAAAAGTGATGGAAAGTGAAACAAAGAATTTACAATGCAATTTTATAATTATTATTTTTTATTATTAACAAAATCAGAGGTGTAAGTATTCATCCAGAAGTCATATGCCAACCAGACACATGCAGATTAACCACCATGATAGGGACTTTGTATGGGCAAAATCCCACATCAAGTAGTATGGGCTGCTTGATGGGGTATTTAAACCAATGGCTCTCCCTCCCTAACAGCTAGCTTTTGGGGATTGACTCTCCAAAGGTTTGGGTACCTATCAATGGTATCAGAAACTGTAAGTGTAAACATAGAAAAAAAGACACTAGATGTTGTAAGAGGTGTCACCTAAAAGAACATGGGAAAATGAGGAAGGACATGTAGTAAAATAAATTTGCAAGGCGGATCACAAAATTTTGTTACACTGTATAATGTCTTTTTCTTATAAGCTGAACTAGACATGATTAGATTATAAGTGAGGATGAAAGAAGAAAAAGAAGTGATTCAAAAAAGGTTCCTTCCAAATGATGCTGACATCTGTATTTAATATGAAAATATCACATCAAAATGGTTTTGACAAAATCTCATGAAATGGGATTCAATAAGTATTGGGATTTACTAAATGGTTAATGTCATTTATGCGAAAAACTAAACAAAGAAATCAAAGCAGTCAATCATGAATGATTGAACACTTGTAACTGTCAATTTCTGCACACGTCAAACTTGAACTATCATTGGCTTTTAAGAAGATGAACAATCCAGATTGCTCAAGGAACGATGGATGTCAATTCTTCTTCTGTCTTCAATTTTTTTTGCCAATTCGGGCACATCATGGACATCATCAAACATATGATCCTCTGTATCATCAATATATCGTGCTGCATGATACGCTAAGTAATCTGCGCAGCGATTGCCCCCTCTATACACGAATAGCCTGTCCTTACAATTCAGCATAGCGACAACTTGCGCCAATTCTTTAGCCTGATTAGAATTCCGCGTAACAACACGATCACCAGGTTTTGGATTCTCGACCTTCCTTTCTTTTGGGCATAATGCTCGGATGAGAAGCCGGTGGTCGGATTCTAAAATCAAGTTTTTGATCGGTTGATATAAGCAGATGCCCTTCCTTATAGCAAAAAGCTCGGCAGCAAAAGCGTCTCCCATATGCAGAACTATCACATTGAAAGTAATATAAAGGATTTGTATAATATTTATTGGAGCAAATCACAGAATTGTCACTTGAATTGAAAAAAGAACACTGGATAAAAGAGAGAGAAAAGAACGCAGGCTGCAGATAAAAAAAGTAGCGAAAAAATAAACCAGGCTCTGATACCACTGATGAATTTCGAGCATACCTGGAATCTACAACGGTATCAGATAGCCATGTGGAGATCCGATCATGGTGACGGAGTCGGATCAATGTTTCACAACAAATACACCGGGGAGATGAAGAACAGAGCGCGGAGGGAGGAGTTTGGAGAAAAGAAAAATCGGAACCCAAAACTGATCCTTCGGTTGTCTTTTAGCTCCATGTTTCCATTTGAACCAAAAATTACCTCCTTCACACGGTTTTCCAACTGTTCCCTCCTTTATTTTTTTTTTGTAAATTAAATAAAAAGGAAAAAATTACAATTAAAGACCCATAAATTCTGCTATTCACACTAGAACCCTAAATGTCGATGGGCTTGGATCCAATCTATCAAGGGTGGACTAGTCCATTTTCTTAGATTTCTCCACAAAGATCTTGGAACAACAATCCAGTTCATCTTTTTTCTCTTATGGAGCCTGCCCCCACCCTTGCCCCTTGAGCGTCGAAAATGTGCTTTTGAGAAAGTTGAGTTCATCAGTTGTCACATATCCGGTGAACTTCAAAATTTTCAATAGGTCATCGAATTGTCTTTTTGCTATGCACGCCATTGCCAGATCATGGATGCTCTTGGCCATGGATGACATGTTAACTAGGACGCAAGAAAACATAAGAAGGTAAGGATGAAATTTTAAAACTAAAGCCCTTACAATTTGCAGACATCGAGCATTTAAAAGAAAGATGAAGAAGAAGAAGGAGGAGGAGGAGGGGAAGACGAAAATGGTACCAGTGCAGTCAGTCAGGCAAAAACGAGCGAGCGATGGTTCAAACAGTAGGCGTGCCGCGAAAGATCATAACGGACTTCGAGCGGGAAAATCTTGGGTGAACCGGTGTGGAGAAATTCTCAGGTGAACTTAGAGTGCCATGTAATCTGTGGTCTATCCAATCAGGAAAAAAACAACTCACATTATTTTAATCTAATATGGCACTTTTTCGATATTAGTTGGCAGATACAAAAATTAAAAGAAAAAATTTGCAAAAAAAAAGAGGAAAAAAAGCTCCATTTGCTTTTCATTTCCCCCGCGTGCCTCCCACTACCTCTCATTTCCCCCCTCGTTCCATGACTAAAAAACGATATGTTGAGACTATAGCAAGCAAACAAGTAAAATAAGCTTTTTCAACCATTAACCTCCGCATCGTGGAAATCGAAACTTGGAAAGAGGGAGCTTCGCATGATCACGCAGGTAGATCTATAAATAAATATGCTGCAATGCATCTAACAAAATAAATAATCTTCATGTAATGATTATACTGTTAAATTAGTCTTGAATATTGTTACAGTATTCAAAATTGGAAGCTTTATTGTCTCTTGTATATGTTTAAAATTGGGGTTTTGATGAGAAATTTATTTTATAATTGTGTACTCATGTTCCGGGGTCTTATTTGCTTTTATATATGCGTGTATGTTTTGGGGAAAAAATTTTCCTTGTTTTTCCCAACAAAAAGTGTTTGTGATTTAATTAACTTTTATTATAGAATAGTTTTATGGAGATTTTGAAGTTGTTTTAATTTTGTACAGAATGAAAATAGTAAATGAATCAGAGTTAGATAAGAATGAAAATAGCATTGAAGCATTAAAAAATAAATAAAGCTTTCGATTTAATAAAACATGATTAATTTTTTGCACAACTTCCAATAATTTTTCAACAACTTTTGTTCAAATGCTACCCGTTTTCTAAAGGATTTACTCACTCTCTTCCATTATTAGTACTATAATTCATATAATATTTTTACGATGATTTAATATAATTTTTATTTCCTCAAGTTTACACAAATTTTGATTTTGGTTTTTAAAGTTTTGAACAATGAGCTTTAATTTGGTCTTTTAAGAGATAATATCATCATGTTTTTATTAAATTATATAGATGAATGTTTTAGATAAAAAAAACTTAAATAACCAAAACTTATAATTTAAAACTTAGAAAATTAAAACTAAAATAAAATTAAATTTGATATGTTAAAAATTATATTAACTCTTTTTATAATGTACTAATGATGAAAATTTTATCTCCAATTTTAATTATAGATTATAAATAAGATTTTATAGGTAGAATAAAAATTAGTAAAATTTAGTAATCTCATAGCTTGTCATAAAGGCTAAAACTTCTGAATGAAAACTTTCGCATCAAATTTACACTTCAACTCTTTTTTTTTTAATGATTATTTGATATGAATTACCAAGCCTCTGGCCCGTTGGATCCTGTTCCTAAAACGCCATGTCGTTTGCTTATGGACTCCAAATTAAACGGCTAACATTGGAAGTAGGAATTGAAAATAGCCTCACTTCTTGAAATTGCACAGGAGAAGCCCGCCTCTACAAATCCGACGATAAATTCAAAAATCCTCGACGGAGCGAAGTCGCAGGGAGGGAGAGAGATGCCACTGAATGAAGTGAACGTGAAGTCGGAGAGGAAGCCGCTCAGGAATGTAACAAACAACTATGGTCGGCGATCCTTCAAATCTGCGAACGTGAAGACGGTATCTCAGAAGCAAAAGGAAGAGACTGCTAAAGAAGAGAAAGAAGATGACGAAGTGCTCGATCGCATTCTTCTTGTTCAGTCCGATATTTCCTCTATTCTTCATCAGGTGTCTGTTCAATCCAATTGTAGTTTTTTAGTTGGTTCTCTAGATCTACAAGCGGTCAGAAATAAATTTGCGTCGTTTTTGAAGCAACCAAGTCATTAGGACTTATGGTGGCTTTGTTTACTGCAGTTCTAGGGCAACGTAATATTACTTAGTTGACCGAGTTTGACGGATATGAAGTTTTCATGTTGAGAAGGGAACATAGGCATGTTTCTAGTTGGAATTTTCGGTTATAGAGAAATATTTTTTTAATTTTGGATTTCATTTTCTTCCTAGCCGACTACTTTTATTACACTCCTATTACAACAGCCACTTGGATAGATTATAAATTGAAATCAACTAACTAGCTTGCTTTTTTTGGGTGACGCTAGCTAGCTTGCTTTGTTATCCAAAATTTTCTATTTGTCCAAGCAGATGGATCTTCCTAGATTCGTTTGTTGAATACGTGGTGTCAAGGCTTTAAACTATGCGCTAAGAATTTTGCCTTTTATTTTATTTCAATGAGAATTTCAATGAGAATTTTCACTAGTTATTGATAGGTGTTGTTTCTGATTACAGCCATGGGAGGCCAGGTTCCAGATGGCACTATCTACGACCTTAGAAGAGTCTGAAAGCCAGCCTCAACAGGTCTTGGCTAAAAATCCAGTATCTAACGAGGTTAGAGATAAAAGTAAAGTCAGTGACAGTACTGAGGAGACCAATTTGGACTTTCTGGTTTCTCCATCTCCTCTCGTGTCCTGGCGGGCTAACTGTACCATTGAGAGAGGTAGACAAATGTTTATGCTCACACCACTTCCTATATCAAAAGCATTATCATGCAAACGTTAGGAGCCATCTAAATCAGAGTTCAATAGGTTATCTTCCTCTACTTATGCTTTTGGGACATCAGATATTTTTGCCTTATCTGGAGATATACCTGATTGCTCGTTTGATGCTGCTGTGGCGAAGCCAACTCCACTCAAACCTTCTGCTCCTGTTGCTATTCAAGGGGCGAATGCTCAAGAAAATGGATTTATTTTTTCCCCGCTTTTTCCTATAAGAGAAAGCTCCATGCTTGTTATGACACCGTGCTTAAAGATGTCACCCCCTAAATCTTGTGTTTTGCTTGAACCCATATCTGAAATCTGTCATCCAGGCAAAGGCAATGACAAGGTACGCAAATCCACTCCGTTTCCTCTTGGGATTCATTACAGCGATTCAGAAACTTCTGATTCTTCTGGTGGTGAAGCTTCAAAAGGTCTGGCATTGAAGTATCTGGAGCTATTAGGGATACAACATATTTCTAAATCTGCAGCTGGAAAGAAAACGACAGAAGCATCCCCAGACTGGTTTATGTCGCCTCCTAAAACTTGTGTTTTGCTGGAGCCTCCTGATGAGAATTCGTTTGGTTTGGAAAAGGCTGATAAAGGTTTACAGATGACAGATGCTGTTATTACTAATAAAGAAACCAACAAATTGAAAGACAATGTATTTGAAGACCATGGTCAAACCAAAAAATCTTGTAACAAAGTACCTGATCTTCCACTGTTCATACCTTCTGACTTTCTGGGTTGACATGATTTTGGCTTCTTTATTTATTTATTTGTGTACAACACATTGGTGGCAACTTATCCTCTATGGAGAGCACTCTGTGGCTTGAGCCTGAAAGCTCGTTTCGAACTGGGAAATGCCCTGGTGAGAATACACTGAAGTAAGAATTGTGGACAAAATTTGAAGCAGCATCTACCAAGGGGCTTCTAAGTAAAACCCCCACAGTCAGCAATATTACTCAAAAAGGATTTCTGGATCTCCTGGAAGAAGCTTCTTGTAAAGATTAAGCACGCTACAAAAATCAATATCTCAGCAAGCAAATAGATTTTTCTCTCATTTGGAATTTGAAAATGAAAATTTTGGCTGTACAAGCTCATGTTGTAGGGTTTGGAGCAAGGAGGCCTGCTGGCCTTGTGCATTGTGTCTTAATCCTCCACCTAGAAAGATAATTTTGCCAGGGGGATGCAGGACACTTGATGTAAGCTGTGTTCTTGTGCTGATTTTTGTTCCTTCCCTGTTGATGTCAAGAAGAATGGAACGGAACTATGGGAGGTGTTGTTTGGTGCTGCATCCGCGGAATCTAATCTTGTCTGTATCATTAAGCACTCATCTCAAGAATATGAGATGCATTCAACAAGATGTGTCGAACCATGATAGGTGCGATCGTTTATTTGTCGAATTCGAAATCAAAGCAATGGATGGGATGGCAGAATTTAAAGCAGGAAGAATGACACTAATTTCAGTTACTTGAATTATTTTCAATTGTATCTATACAATATGCTATATATTCATATAACAAACAAGTGATAGTTTCAATACAAGACGAGTGATCACCTTACTACTTTTCATGGCAATATACATTATATTATATTCTTGGACAATTATAAAATTCTTGGATAATTATAAAGTTCAACATGTTAGATTATATTACCTTCGGTTTTAATTATAAGAGTTAGTTGAGTAATTTGATAAGATTAAAGAAAGGAGTTAAGTTATTTGTAATAAATATGTACTGTCTTTTCTAAAATATTTTTACTAATTAAATGTATTGATTAGAATTATCATTGTTAAAATGATTACTTTGGATAAAAATGCATAAATATGAAAGACAAAATATATTTGAATCTTATATTTAAGATCAAAATAAAAATCAAAGTATATTAAGAACCGAAGGTAGTAATTAATAAACTTCAGCAAGTTTTTACATCACTCCTACCTGCTTTATAGATAGAGGAATTGAAGTTGCCATTTCCTATTTCTGACAAGGAAGCCCATCCGCCTTCCGCTTATTTTGCAACACTTTTTTGTGTGTATGGAGATAGATAGCTAGATAAATATATAATTATTCATATTTTTACCACTTTGATAGTGATGACATTTGATTTCTTAAGTAGTTGCTGTATGTTTATCTCTCTCTCTCTCAACAAACAAATTTTATTTTTAATTACGAGTTAAGTTTAATTATAATGATAATCAACTTAACTATTGACCATATGGATAAAAATTATAGTGTGCGTTAAAATTGTTTTATTAATTTTTTTTCATAACTAACTCTTATTTTCATAATAATTATAATCTTTATGTCTCTTTGAACCAAAAAAAATAAACAATATCAGTTTATTAGCTCATCATTTTATATGTTTAGCCCGCATGTACAGGGGAAGGGAAAGTAGAGTGGGGGAGAAAATCGAGGGATGTGATTTTTCTTCCTTATACTTAGCTGAATAGAAGAAAAATAGAAAATAGAGGTGAGAAAAAAGTGATTAATTTCATATAAATAATAACCTTACGATCAGGAAAAAAAATTTAGTATGTTTTTATACCAGCTTATTTTAAATGATTTTACACTGTACAAAATAAATATACAAGAGGAGTTTTATTTCACAAAACATAAAAGAATTTTTTAATGACCTCATTAATTTGGCTTGGATTAATGCAGTGAATTTGATCATCATACTAGATCATCATTAGAAATTAGAAATTATAAAATGACGAAGCAAATGTGTTTTTGAAGACTGTGATTATAATTTTAAATACATACCAAGATGATAAATACAAACAAGCTACGTGAAGGCAAGTGGTTGAAAATTTTTGTGTACTGAACAAGTAGCTCAAATTAGGAATCCAGTAAAGAAGGGAAAGTTTATGTAGAACACTATTATTCCCAAGTGTTTTTTTTTTTTTTTGGAAAGTTACAAGACTTACTACTGGCTGGCTCTGTCCTGGCTGATTATTCCGCCTCTAGCACCTTGCTGCATTATACCCTTTCCCGCCGCTCCCAACAAGTACAAAAAGTTTTTCTTCGCTTCACCATCTCTGTAAAATCCCTTTAAACCGTCACAAAATCGTTCTCTTCCTGTAAATTCTGAAACCCTAACTTATCTGTGTTCGTTGTCAATGGCGAAACTTGATCAGCTGACTCGGTACATTGAGTCCTACGTCGACTCGTCTGCTACTTCCTCTCAGCAGGTCTACCCCCTTCTTTGAATTCCCTTTTTACAAAATGAATACTTGTACGAGCAGAGTTCAGTTATACGTCGAAGTAGCATGATTTCTTTATTCCTTTCTTTTTTTCAATTATATAATCATATAATTTTCATTGTTTTCTGAAGAAAATAACAAATTTTCCTCCTTCTGTGAGGAGGATGTGCTTTCGCTAATTGTCTACGTGCATGCTTTTCTCTTGGTTGTTGCCCATTGACAAAGTATGCTTTTGCACTGCAGTTTGCGAGTGTGGACGCAATTGGGAATCTTGTAAAGAATAATGCTTTAACTCTGGAAGCACTGGTATGCTTTTCTCTTAACCCGTTTTTTCCACGTTTATATTTAATTCCATGCGTTCATGCTAGTTTTCTCCCCATTCTTTTATTGCCACTGTTTCACTTAAAGGTTAGAGAGTTGGAGATGTATTTGACCACAACAGATGACATCATTCGTGCAAGAGGTGCGTCTTATTTGTTCTCAGATTGTATGACATTCTTAACTACATAGTTGCATACACACCATATGCATGCATGCATTCAACAATGTGTACACTTTACATATGAATACCAATGCATGTGCATTTTAATGGTATTATACCTGTGACTGTGAATAATGTGTTAATTAGAGTGAATGCTTGAGCATCCTTTGGAAACACATTTTCAGGAATCCATCTTCTAGCAGAGGTGCTTACGCGCATTGAATCAAAACCTCTTGACAAAGCAACTGTTCATACCTTGATAGCTTTCTTCAAGGATAGATTGGTCAGTATAAATATTCCTTCTACAAAATCCATTATGCTTTCGAGGTTTTTATTTGAAATATTTGTCAATTTCTTTTCCTCTCTATCTATCAAAATTTTTGGGTTTTGGGAGGCAAAAGGAGTGCAAAATTCTTTGGCATTGTGCAGTCTTTGCTGGTTTGTGGGGTATTTGGTTAGAACAGAATGTTGCTGCATCCAAATAGATTGGAGTGCATCAATGGACTTGATTGGATTGTATTGATATGGTGGATAGATTTGAGACTATGGTTGAAACTTCCATGGACATGCATTAGAATATTAGCAGTCCAGGCTAGAGTTATATTAGGGAATCATTGATGGACGTTTTACTTATCTGGGCTTACTTAGGATGTTAGTTAGGGTAGAGTTGAGCCAGACTCCAGACGGAGGGGAACCAAAGGTCAGCAAAATGCTTTATTTGTGCCAACTCTACCCGGCAGAACATCTCTGGGTCTGGTAGGTTTCAAACTAAAGTCAAGCAAGATAAATTCAGTTTTCTAAGAAGGAACTTATATTGCTGTCTGATGAAAAAAAAAAAAAAAAGGTCGATTTGGGTCTGTTATAAACTAATAAACTCTTGTTAGAAAGTAAAGACATGCCTTAGGATGGAGATGGAAATATGGATTTACATCAGAGAAATAAAAAGATCCTAATAATATCTAAGACCTATGCTTTTTGGCCTTAAAAAAAGGACCCTCGACCTAGACATCATTCTAATAGCCTGGAGACCAAGAAGAACATAAAATCCCCTTGATCAAGAACTTTGTACCGTTTCCAATATGAAATTTACCAGAGATGAAATATTACAATTGAGTTCAGCAATACAAGTTAGCTCTCCAATTCGTCTACTTGTCTCTTATCTTTAGAGAAGCTCCCTCAAAAAACCATGGGCATAGGACCAAAAGGAGGCTGTCAGCACATTCATATTCCAATTAAATCCAAGTACACGAAAGAACCTTTAAATTGGAGAATTTAATTCTCAAAAGAACAGTAGAGGTAGCATCTTGCCATAAAGCTTTCCTATGTTTACTTTTGCTATGGATTTTTAAAATTGCTTCAACCCCTACCATTTACTGATTGCACGTTAAGACTGGAGGTTAGTACCAAGCCTAACTTTAAGCATCTGCTTCATTTATACGTGTGAAAAAAATAAAATAAACTTTAAGCATTAAATCAAGCCTGACAACCTCTTTAATCGCCTCCTAACTTGAGACTTGCTGGAATTCTTGTTCTTTTGCTGGTTGAGTTTTGTGAGAGTCTGATTTGGCAGTTTCACCTTTCATTTTTTCTTTAACCAAATGTTTACTGATCATCTATGATCTCTTTTAAATGGTAGATAATTTGTCATCAGTTTTTCCAAATAGTACTAACAACATAATATTGTATTTAATCAGGCAGATTGGAGAGCGCTGCAAGGTGCCCTTGTCGGTTGTTTGGCTATGATAAGGAGAAAAAGCAATGTGGGTATGGTAACTGATAGTGATGCCAAAGCTGCTGCTCAATCTTTTCTAGAGAATATCCAAGTTCAATCTTTAAGACAGCATGACAGAAAGGTAAGTTATGGTTAGAGTGCCTAGACATTGTTTTTGCCCTAGAAACCTGTCCAAGGATGAAAAAGACATTAGAACTTTTTCTCCTTTTGGAGTTTATTTGATTTGCTTGCGATGTTATCTAAACACTTCATGTTGGCTTTTGTTGCTACAATATTGCAGCTTTGCTTTGAACTTCTTAATGGCCTGCTGGAGCTATACTCCGATGCAGTTTCTTCATTGGTAGTTTATTTTCCCTGAACACTTACACTGTAACCCAAAAAAAAAAAAAATCCAACAGTTGATGCTTGCTTTTTCATACATGTATTTCTGTTGAGATCTATTCTTTTGACACGAGGAATTATATTTTACCATCTCAGAACACATTGCCTCTTGATTTCCTGAAGATCTGTGGGAGAAGATTTAATGGAATTTGTGAAGCTGTGGATGCTGAAAAGGATCCAGAATGTTTGATGCTTGCTTTTCATTGTGTTGAGAGTTTGACACGATTATATCCTGATCCTTCTGGGTGTACTTTCGAATTATGCGAAGGATATTTTTGACATTTTGGAATCTTACTTTCCCATTCACTTTACTCATGTAAGCTTAATTTTTGGTCTTATACTTCCATTGAAACAGCATTCATTTTCCCTTCTGTTAATTGTCATGAATCATTTGAGCTTACCTTGAAGTTAATATAATCTTTTAATTGCACTTAATGTTT